GTTGTTATTTAAATCCGACTGTCTGGGGTTTACCATGTACAAGGCCTCACAGCTTGCTTACACCATATACTTGATGGGAATTTTTAGGATTGTCACTAAAATTGTTGTACGTCGTTCAAAAATGTCTTTAGACATAATTTCATTAAAACTTTCTCCGAGCATGGCTTGTATGCCACAGCCTTTATAATGCTGTTTTTTTTATATATATATATATATTATATATATATCTATATAAAATATCCAAAATATATTTTATTGTACTGAGGATTAACCTCGACAGACCCCTGGCCTTTGCTGCCCCTCCCCCACATGTTTTTTTTTTTTTTTAAATCTATATTTATTTAGTTGTTCTGTGTTTATGGACATTAGATTTTGTTCGCTATTTTTTCTCTTAATAGTATTGTTTGTTAATTTTGTGTTACTTTGCATTGATTTCGTATAATTATGTCTGAACATGTTTGCATACTTGTTTTTCATGAACCACATATGGAAATAAACTTAAACATGAACATGAACATGAACAAGCTGAATTTTCTCGGATAGTACCAGGATAAAGTACGGAATGACATCTTAATGTTCTCAGGCATCATCCATCCGCGGTTTTATGCGTTTTTCCGAAATGCTATTTGAGAAAGTCGGGCGAACTCCCAATTTTCTCCGATCGATGTTTATGAGTTCCATGGAAATTAAATTAAATGGAATCATGATAATGACTGCGAAGATATTGTTGTTTAGTAAACACCGGGTATACCCCAATGTTGTCAAGACAACTTTCCATGAAAACCCGAGAAACATTCTGCTTCATTAGGTCCATGTTTTACTAAATTGCTTGTCCTCCTTGTTTTGAAATAGGAAGTTCTACATGATGAGAAGCATCAGTCGTACCGCAAGGCCCATCGTTCGGTTCCATTTACCATCATATCTCATTCAGGTGACGTTACAGTGGCACGTGATTGTGAAGGGAAGATCGCAGAAACTAAGGTACGATAATCAGTTTTGTCCTTGAAGAGGAAGTCCACTCTGATATGAGGTTGGATAATGAAAAGAATAGAACAGTGAAAATTGAGCAAAATCCGATAGGAATGAAGAAAGTTATGAATATTTGAATTTACGATCAATCGTACATAAATTGTCAGCTATGACGTATATTGCGAGATCCCTTCTCATTCGCTCTGTATTAAAAAAAATATAATTTTTTTTTTCCGTACATGAAATGTCAACCATATGTGCACCCTAAATACGATTATTGCAAATATGTTTCTATACAATCAATGTATATTAAAACAAATCTACTCCGTTCTCAATAACGAAGACATTGAAAGTTTATGAAATCGTCTGTACAGAGCAAATTGGAGAGAACCTCGAAATATAAGTCACAGAATTGCCAATTTGTGTATCACTGATGACATTACTTTAATAAACTCATAACTTTCCTCTTCTTAATCGGACATCGCTCAAACTCTCACTAAAATGTGTGTTTCTCTCATTTTTCGGCTTTTATTAATACCATCGATTTACCAGGGTCGTCTTCTCCTTTAATAATGTCTCTGATTGATGTTCCGACTTTCAGCTCTGCGAGAATTTTCTCTCGTTTTATTTTGTGAGAAGAAAAAAAAAATGGTTATAGTGTTAAGTTAGGGTTGCGGTAAGTTTTTAGGTCATATTTATGGTAAAGGTTAGGATTGGTTTAATGTTAGTTTTAGGTCAAGTAAAAGTACAAAAATAACCTCAAATGCATTTTATGTACAGGTAGAATGTATAAAACAACCTCCAATTTGTTTACACGGCCTCTATGCTTTTGTTCAACAGTAGGATTCCGGCACAGCATGCACGGGTCGGCGCGCTGGCTGAAAATAAGCCACTCATGGGTGTCTCCAAGTGTTTTGTATCAGGGGGGGGGGGGGGGGAGGAACAGGTCACCCCTCCCACCTTGAGAAATTTCCACATTTCAGCCATTAAGAAACTCAAGTATACACTTTAAGTATAATAATGAAAGAATATAGTCTGATACTTGAGAGAAATCAAGATTTGTTAATTCAAACATATCCCACAATTTTTGTGAAACTAATGTTTTCCTAGGCTCCATATTTTCAAATGAATTATTGATTATTAATTATTGGGTCTGTTATTGATACATAAAGACTACATCCCTATCTGTAAAACTGACTCCTATGACAATCTTCCCCCCCCCCCCCGAATCTCCCCCTGGACACTTACCTCCCAAGGCAATTACCCGAAGCAAAAATTACCTCTAGGGCACCCCAGGACAAATAGCCTCCGTCAAGAAAATTAAGTGTGCATATCTGTCTTTTGATTATCAATTACCGGGTTTCCAAATTTTGCAAGCGAGCGAAGTTACCAATTAAATTATTAGACTTATCGAAAGAAATGTCGTCATTAAATATACCAATATTTGACCCGGGAGAAATGTAAAAGAGATACAAAAAGACCACCTCATTACATGAAATCGATGTAGTAGGGGCCTATATTGTCAATTCGAAATTATCGAGGGGAGGGGGTGGAAGAGGAAAGTTTCGGTGTAAAAATGCCAGAGGTATTATTATTTTTTTATATAAGCCTGTAATTCTAGGGTTACATTTCTTAGGGTAATTGTCCTGGAGTAAATTGTCCAGGGGGTAATTGTCCTGTGTGTAAATTCCTGCAGTGATTGCCCGGATTTTTTCTCGGGGCCAATTGTCCTGAGGGTAATTGTCCGGGCGAGGGAATTATCCAGGGAAAGTCCGGGTAAGACTACAATGTTTTAAAAATGTTTTTCTCAATAACATTAGAAAAATAACAACTCAGTTGTGTTGGCGAAGTTCCAATTAACAATTTTTTTTCAATTTTTCGAATCTTTTAAACATCTTTCTTTCCTTATAATGCTGTAAGATTTACTGAATATCTGAAACCCTGAAATCCAGAAAATGATTCCGAGTAGGACACGTATTAAAATTTCCCCCTGATACAACACACTTGAAAAAAGCCATACACAAAGTGATGTCCTATTTCGGCCAGCGCACTAAGGCCCCTCTATTTTAATAGTAAAAACCACTTTCTTTGGTCTTTTTGTGTGTAATACTCTAACTTTCTCGTCCTTTAGCTGCTCTCTTTAAAGGAAATTCACAGCCGAATGAGACATAACATAGTCTTAAAAGTGTCACCGAATGAGGAAGACACTACATTCAACGTAATAACCATCACACTTACACAGTCTGGGAAACTAGGGGTGTCTCGATCAATGGCATTCGTCATTAGATACGAAGGTTTGTCTACAATCTTTAATTCATCCCAGCATTTCCAAAAAAGAGAGATGGGCTATTTATATTTTCCTTTTTTGGGCGAGCGTTGATTATACACGATATAATGAACGTTATTTTCGTCCGTGTTATGTTTTCTTAACATTCTTAGCTTTGGCTGTTACTTTCATACTCACTCGGGAAAATGAACGTTATTATCAGTTTCGTATAAATATATACCTGCGTAGGCTTATTATGAAATTATATACTTATTAGCAATTAATTGGTAGACATTACATATTCACTGATATCTATATATATATTTTGCAATAATTGGAATCGTTTTTCCCTGCACGTAATACCTGGGACTATAACTCTCTTTTTAATTATAATGATTTTTGTTGTAATGTCTTAATGCTTTTAAATTTTCTTGTAAAACTTTTCTTTCATCGTATCATGGTTGCAGATGTAATCAAGCTTCCTGAATTTACTCCAGTTATACGGTAAGTATGCCGTTATCAATCTATTCACATGTTTTAAAAATAAATTCATTTTCGATCAAGGTGAATAATGAGTTTTTTTCCTCGCTAAGTTCAACTAAAATTTTGTAAAGATATTAAGTAAGGCACAGCGTAATGGCTGAAATACAAGGTATTCATATTCTTGCAACGTTTTTTTTTTCTTCTCCCTTTTTACGAAATTAATATGGAATTTTAAAGATTATTAACATCTTATAAGGCCTAACCATGCAGGAAATGCATAGATTCTAAGATGAAGAAAACAGTTACTGGTATTTGTTTTTCAGAGAAATCGAAGGAACTTCTCGAAATGATCTCCCTGATGTAGATGTCCAGAAAATCGCCGAAGAGCTTTCGATAGACGACTTTTATGACCTGGGAGTTGCACTCGGTTTCCAAATACAACAACTGGATGCAATAGAGTATAAGAGGCTCAAAGACAGACAAGGGGCCATCTTCGAAATGTTGATAATATGGAAACAGAGACAACTACCACATCAAAATGTGAAGGAAGTGCTTCTTTCACTCCTGAAGTCTGAGGAAACAGAGGCAGAGATGACGAAAATTACAGGTTCTACTGTTACTTACTGTTACTTATTCTTAACACTGTTAAGCATACCAGATATAATGCCTGATGACTCAATATATATGGTACCTGAGCTGTGTAGAGATCTGTACTAATCTTTTGATTTAGTTATACATGCCTCTATTGCTGCTATGAGGGGAACACAGTTTGACGCCAATGGTGATCATTGTCATCATTAGTGTGGCGCAAAATGCTTCTGCATAACAACATTAAAAGGTGCATGCTCCTATACAGAAATAATTTTATTACACTTCTGTGGGATGAAGAAAAAAATTGAAACAATAAAAATGAAACAAAAAAGAAAAAATATGAAAAACGATTATCATGGTAATAATTAATAATGATAACAACAACAAACTTTAACAACAATCACAATGAATAGGCTAATAATATTTAATTATATAATGATGATAATAATAATAATAACAAAATCACAGTAGTAATTATGATAGCAATAGTAATAATAATAGTAAAAACCAAAGAGTGTGAGGATTTTTTTTATATAAATACATTAGCCTATTATGGAAAGAAGACATTGTGAAAAAAACATATTCAAAGTTATGTTTTCAAATATCTATTCGTACAATTTTTCATTTAATCATTAATAGTTATGCACAGGAATCGAATCTAACTATATTTCCTTATGTTTTATTTGCAACAATGACGTCCTTTATATTTGGTCACCGTACTTCAGATATGACTCCAACCGGGTAAGAATTTGTTGATCACTAACCCTTACCTTTAATACCGTAAATCTAACCTTAAACCTTACTGCAACCCTAACTGAAAACTATAACTGTATGTGTTTGACTTTTTTTAAAGAAATAAAGCTAGAGCAAATGTCGCAGCGCCAAAAGTCAGAACATCAAAAAGGTACTAGAGTATCAAAGAGGAAGTCCACCCTGGTAATTAGCTGGTATTAGTAAAAGCCGAAACATTAGCGAAACAAATTAGTGAGAGCTTGAGCTTGAAATAGGAAACTAATGTAACTTGTAAGTTGTCACCATTAGAAAAAAATAAATATACTATTAGTAAAATGAATATAGTAGAAGTATTTTAAAGGTTAACACAAAGGAACGCAAAATAAAGGTATACGTGTCAAGCGGATTACGTGTCTCATTGATTTTATTTTCAATGATGCGTGGTTTAAATTGTTTATACAAGTCATGTATACTTATTACTGGTCGAAGCAATCGATCTATATCCTGCTGCATGACAAATATCCGATTGACTGGATTACAGATTCTTTGGAAAAGCAGTTCACTGACCAGAAGTCAACATAAGCCTTGATTCTAGTATAATAAACATCATTTCTTTTCAATATATTTAGTAACATTTCTGACCAAGACTTGCTTACATTGGCTCGACGTATCAAGTCGAAGGACTTCATGGGGATTGGCACAAAGCTTGGATTCAGTCGGAATAAGCTTGAGAACATCAAACACAAGACACTGCAGAATCGCAAAGACGCTAACATCCAAATGCTCTGCGCGTGGAAGGCATCTCAAAGATCAGATCCTGAAGCGACTGAGACGTTAAAGTGCATTTGGGAATCTGTCTCCTTGGCATCCACGGCTGCGAATACAGGCAATTATTCTTCATTATTTGTAATAAATAATAGCTCTAGGACCTGTAGATGTTGTATATTATATATTTGGTCATTGTATTCAAAGGTAGAAACGAATAGAAATCTTAACTGAAATTTGTCTTCGATGGAATCATGCGATTGAAATGTTTAGTGGTAATAAAAAATGGTTTTGAAGCTTCAAGTTGACTATTAGGGCTGATAATGGCATTTATAGCAGTCTTTTGTATGTGTCAAAAACTTGTCACACGAGATAAGACGAGATAAGGCGGAGCCATCTCTACACTCACTAATACATAGTATGTAGAAGAAAAAAAACTTCTTAAGTACTCAACAAACTTAAAACAATAGCCTCATCAGTCATGATTATGACTGTCATGACACACATTCTATTTAATATTTGTATATTTTTCTCTCAGACGATAGCTTGCAAGCGCCCTCGTCGGCGACTCCTGAGATGAGAGCCAAACCAAACGAGCCTATAGAGCCTGAAGATATGGATATTATTACAACATCAGATACAGGTAGATAACAAAATAATAATATCATATGATTGTGACAATGATAGCATTGTATACATACCCTTTGTATAACTCAATTCCAGTGGGCATGATAAATATGGAAAAGAAAAAAAATCAATATTATATATCAATTTTGAGATTAGAAAATTAATGCATTTCTTAGATGATTTTTCATTGTTTGATTTGTATGTAGAGCGAGATGGAATAAATGATGACCTTAACCGATGTGAGGGAACACCAAACACAGAAGAGCTTTGCAGCGTCGCTCTTTCAGTGAAAAGTCTGCCATTAGCATTTTCACTTGGGAAAGCCCTCCGTGTAAATGATGACCTCATTGTTGAATTCATCGATCTACCCAGTTCCTCAGTACTCCATAAGATTGCACGACAGCTCGTAGAAAATTGGTTGAATGGTTTGAAAGAGGCAGAACAAGAAGATAAGTTCGCTAAGCTTCTCTCGGAGTACAACATCCCAGATGTAAACACAGGTTTGTTTGAATCATAAGCCAGTTCAATCACAATCGTGTTGATAAGGACATATCAATTTGAACCTTTTAAAGAAAATGTTAAAGTTCAAACTGCATTTCAGTTCTTTTTCACATTCCATTATTTTCATTTATTAGCGTTAAGGCAATTATATGTACAGAAGTACAGAAGATTTTCAGTAGTAGGTGAAGATTTGTATTTACATGTATCTACAAATCATGAACACAATTTTTGGTTTCAATGTCATAATTCATCACCATCATTATGCCATTTACATTAACCTGAATGTTTTCCTCCTGCTCTACTGACGAATGCATTTTTTCACTGTCCACAGGCCGTGAAGAAATCTCAAAAGCCATTGGATCCAAGAAAGAACTAGTGGACTTGTGTTATCGCCTGAATGTTAAACCTTCTGGCGTCTTGCAGATCATGAGCACATTTGTGACCTTCCCGCCTGACATGATTGGCCGTTGTACTCTGAAGATGCTTAAGGAGTGGGTACACCACGGTGGGACTAGGGAGAGGCTTCTCGAAGTTGCTCAGGCTTTCCGTTTCAACGATGCAGCAGTCAAGATAGCAGAAGGTAATGTCATTTCACAACTCCACTGTGTTTTACATGACATTAAATTGTGTAGGCCTACTTGGTCAGTGGAAGAAAACAAATGTTCGACAGATACTTACTATTACCTGACTATAAAATACACCCACATTCCCCCTTTAGAGAAAAATGATAAAATCGGCAGGAGCCTGTGCACTTTCCTTTACCAGTTATCATTAAAACCTAAGAATCGCAGTATACAAACAAATTAACTTGCTTGAATATTTTAAGGAACATCTCGGAAATTTTGCCAATGATTTCTATCATTTAAACATTGACCATACTTTACTCAATACAGCAGAGTTTTAGGAAATAAATTTGGAAAAGCGAGATTACCATTATTTTGTTTCTACTCGAATCAAATCCTGACTCAAGATGATTGTAATATTTGTATTCAAACCCCTACAAACGTGCCTTATTACACAGAGGCCTGTTTCCCAATTGCTTTACAGTAAATACACTCGAAAGGGACTTCCTTGGAAATAACCATGAACAGAATCTGGCACAAGTTTATATTTTTGTATTGATGAACTGTACTGTAGTTGACTTGTTTCATTCTTATCCTCCTTAGCTATGAAATGCCAACCAAACTATACACCTTTCATCTCGCATGGCATCATTGATCACAAGGGTGGAGAACTGACCCTTAATGAACTTGGTATTGCCGTATCTATCCCTGAAGGAGCTATGCCAAAAGGAATGAGATCAGTTGTAACTCTTCGCGTCCCCACTCATGGTACTCCTAGGCTTCCTGTACGGGAGGGTGAAGTAGTCATTACTCCAGCCATAGTATGTTCTCTGACACAAGAACTGCTCAAGCCTGCCACGGTGGTATTACCACTCTGTACCAATCACCATGAACTTACAGACGACTCTTCTGTTATCTTGTACACAAGAACTGGACCAGGTACAAAGTTAACAACATATATTGATTCTGTTCTCTTTGAATAAAAAGTAAACATCGTCACTTGATATTTGAATCCTGATAATTTGAGACATGAGATGAATACCCGATTTCTCATTACATATATACTACTCTTCCTTTCATGAGAATCAATATGTAGAATGATGAGCTGGTGAGAGTTAATATTGAATGATTTCTCCATGATGAATAAAAAGTACCATGCCATTTGAATCAACTCGCTGAACAAAAGTTGAATCTAGTCAACTACCAGAACATTTACTGATTCGAAATCAATTCCCACTTTACTGATAATCAATATTGTACAAGCCTATATTATCAGGGAGTAAAATAGTTTAAGAAATATTCATGAATCTTTATTTTCATTAATTCAAAGGAAAGTTCGGTCGTAGAAACCTGACTCCGCGCACATCAGAAATCTTAAAAGATAAGATAAAGTTTCATACGCGTCATCTTCAAGTCTGGGCTCTGGCATCGACTGATCTTCAAGGACTCCAGCTGAAATGTGTAGTCTTCCAGCCTCTCTCCATGACACCTGCAGAGAAACCAACTCTACGTGTATACATAATTCATCCATATAGGAACGTTATAGAGGTATTTTTATATCATATAATCTATATCCATCTTTTGCTGAAATCATTTGATTATCGAATTTTAAAAAGTTCCCCTATGGACTACTCAAGTTATGAAATGCCTATGGTAACACTTTACAATTCATCGAAGAAAGTCTCATTATAATTTCTTTGTGATGACTGATGAGTTTCGGGGAGGGAGAATGAGTGTGGAGGAAAGTTGAAGGAGGATCCAAATGGATGCCATAAAACGGCGGATAAGTGGGAAGGGTAGGGGTTAGGGTAGGTGAGATGGTGGAAGTAAGAAGGTTGGATTAGGAAGGGGCGGAAGGGTGTACGGATGAGGGTGTCAAATCAAGAAAGGAGAGGGGGAGGGGGAGGAATGACATGGGAATTGAGCATAGATAGAATAGTTTGTAGAGGAGGGAGAGAATAGAAGGAAAGAAGAGAGAAAAGGTAGGGAGGGGTGAAAAGGCGAGAAGATGGCGGGGGTCGGTAGAGGAGCAATGTTCTGGTATAGGTATTCTTTCGAAAATGCACGATATAGATTTGTACTTAACAAACTGTTCCTTTACACCAATATTGATTAGATACAGATAAAGGCCATTGTCATAACTCTAGTCCAAAATGTATTTAGTTTCCATTCTGCCCGCTAAAATAAAATAAATTTGTCCAAATTATAGCTTTGTGTTGAAATACGGGATGAAAGAAAAAAACTTAGTCTGGATTAGAAACTACTCAGGTAATATAATTGATCAGAATACATGCCAAATATGTTATTCCATTGAATAATACACAATGCAGTAGCACGTGTGAAAGAGGGTGGTCAGTACTTTATGATTCAAAATCTGTATGCTACATACTGAAATCCACTGAAGTACATAGTATCTACTCTGCCATTTTGAGGAATCTTGTATATACATGACGTAGAGTTTGGTGATTAGCCTTTTCCGTGGGAAGTCATTGAAATAGGGATGTAGAATTTTTGGAACTGTATCTTTGTTAACGTCCTGATATGCCTGACTGTTATTTTTGATGAATATTCATCATTAGTGCAGTATTAGTGCATTTAACTTATTCATTATGAGGATATAAGAAGATTAATCCAGACATGTAAACATGTTTTTGGACCGAACTCTTCGATCAAAAAATTAAAAAATTGCTGACTGTTTATTAAACATGTTATTTCCAGCAGTTAAGTGTTACGTTAAACAATCGAAATGAACTTTACATGTGTGTAAAAAAAAGTTACGTATATGTTTTTTTATAGGCCAACAATAGTTGACGTCAATCATTTGCATAACATTTTATCATTTTGCCATATCCAGATTTGAGTTGTATTTGTCATATTCCAGGATATAACGAGGAAGGAGAAGAGTTCTTCTGTGCCCTACTGCAAAGTCCGGAATGAAGTCAGGTTCTCTATACAGTCAACATCAATGGACCTAACGATTTTGCTCCACGACGGGGCGAAAATAAACAAAAGAATGGTAAATATGTGTGAAAGTTATCCCATAAGGTCTGTTAGAGAATAGTGGTCGATATGGAATTTTGGATGGGGAAAAAAGGATATTATCAAAGCTCAATTGTAAAGCTAGTATAAAATCCTATTATATCAGAAATCCTGAAACGTATAGATCAATATACCTCAATAGCACTGTACCTATATGAGCATGTAGGACTACAAGCATTTGGGCAAATGATCGATTTGTCCAGCACACCTACTTTTATTCAGTTCATACGACTGGAATGAGTTGCATGATTTTTTTTCTCGAAATTACTGTACATTATGTAATTTTGCAGGCAACTTAATATCTTAATGATTGTTACAGCAACACAAATTACATGACAATACAAATCATGAATTACATTGAAGAGCGATTCATTGTATTCTGGAGGCATGAACGTGAAGTCGATATTTTGAAAGTTATTTCAGTAGTATTTTAGACTCGGATGCAAAGAAATACAGAAAGATCTCCAGGGATATGAAACAAGCACAGATGGACATGTGGTACCATGAGGGTTTCGTGTAGAAAGTATAAAATCGATAGGATAAAGAAAAAATCTAATGTATATTTTCCACACCTAATTCTTTTCCAGATGTACATGTATTTTTAAATAAAGGTGATATCACGAAATGCCTTTTTAAAATAAATGCAACAATCGACTACCTCGACGGTAAATTTTAGATAAGTAGCCAGTAGTGTTTGAATGCTCAACCTCTTCCTTATTTCGAACTCGAATCTCATCAAATCAAATATATTCGCTCTCTTACTTTCTCACCCACATCCCCACATAATAGACGGGTTTAACTTAATCAGACTTGGTTACTTTTATTCCATGTGAAAAATTGGACAGCAACGTACAAAAGTCCTTCATCCTCAGTGTTCCTCTGCAAGAGATTCGTCATCTTTCCGGCTCAGGTTCTCAGCGTATAGATCATTCAGGGCAGCGTTTCACGAAACCGTCATAAGTACAAGTTAACCGATATCCCATTGAAATAACACGCATTTCAATGGGATGTCGGTGAACTTGTACTTATGACGGTTTCGTGACACGCTGCCTAGATCATCATACATGTTGTTATCAGACGTCCACGTTTTTTTCACCATTTCTAGCTTTCAGTCCAGAGAGGTCCGTGGGCAACCTGTTGATCACATTAAAAACGTATGCCAAAGAATCTCAGATGACGCTCTTTCACTTGTTATCATGTTTATTATTTTGTCATTGTCATCATTATTATTATTATAATTCCCCTCGGATTCGAACCAAGATGCCCATCAAGAGTATACTAAGTGGAAAGTGCAGCCCTCTGAAGTTCGAGCTTGAGTTCTCTCCTGAAGAGAAAGGAAAGAAGAACGTCCATATCGAAATACTTCAAGGGTCAGCAACACTTGCAGTAAGAGAGCATATCATTTCAATTGGAGGTGAGCCTATATTATCAAGAAGTATGATAGTTTGTGTATCCCACTACATTAAAGGTAATACAAAGTTTTGGGAAATTTTGAAAATTGGGTGGAAAGTGAATCTTTACAATTTTGATATATTTGGATGCCCTGTGGATGTATTATAAGCACTAAAAAAATTAGCCCCTAAAACACTTCTGTTTTCGAGAAAAATTGAATATAAAAATTTACCGGTGCTCCCGGTAAATTTCAAATAGCGCCTATGACCGTACAATGGTAGCTGCGACCATGAAAATCTCAGAATAGTTGTGATATATAATTTCCAAACGGGAATAGCTAATCGGTCGATTTTAGTCAAGAAACATTGTTTCAAAGCTAAATTAATATCTTGACCTTGAGAGGGAGCTATACAACATAAAGAGTTTATTATTTATAATTTCATAACTTCAGACTCGATTTCAACCGCGACAACGATGCTTCCAACATTTTAATTTGAACCGAATTCATGACCCCATACCAAAACTTTGTAATACCTTTAATGAAGCCTGTTACATCAAAGACTATACACAAGCCATTCAAGACATGTGACTCGTTGCCTAAACCCTGTATCAGTCATTTATGTAGCAAGTTATTTCAAGGACCCTACATATTATTAATTTTGTAACTTCAATGTATTTGTTTTCTCCTCAATTGATAATAATCACTTGAATGAGCTTTAAAGTTAGCATGTAAATGCACCCTTTTTAAAGGTTAAGTTGGAAAGAGGTGGAAAATGAAGTATGTTGCAAAATACAATAAATGCCGTTAACACTCCTCCCTAGGACTAACAAAAATAAATGTGGGGTATAGACCGCGACGGATCTGATTTTTTTTGTTTTTTTTTTTGTTAATTCATTTCCTTCTCGTATCTTCTGGAAAGGGGATATTGCATTATGTGACACTCTTCAAACCTTAAAAATCTAAATCTTTGAGTATGGTTTCTCGTCCTCTCTAAACACATCCTTTATATTAAATACATAGCAACTCCGCGTACAGATAAAAATTAACGCCTTAGTAATATTATATTTTCTTCATATTACATTTGATGCAGATGAACCAGATTATGCAGTCGATCACAGAGATTCGTAAGTAAAAGAATATTTTCATCAATAAATGTAATGCTCATTCTTTCCACGATAAGGATTGGATAGAATTTAAGATATGTTTATTATAAAAATATCCATTAAGATAACACTTTTTAAACTTTGATTCAGAATCGTGATATAGATCCAAATCATTATACACCAGGCATTTATGATTACTAACGCGTAACCATCCCTAAAAAGTTATAATTAACTGTAACTAGTATGGCTACTCTATTGTTCGACAATCAACTTTTGTCAGTCGATTCTCGGTCCTAAGATAAGGCTGGTGTATCTAAGGACGACGATTCCTGTCGATATTTTACAAAGTAATGTATCAAATATAAAGATCAACAGATGGACAGAATTACGAAAATAACAAAATTCGCAGCATTATACATTTCGATATCCTAAAATATGATTTTCCGCAGAATGTTTTTAATTCTCTTTTCTGCAGGCATGGGCGATTGCAGTATGTATCCAACAATCTTCTCGAGACCCTGACAGATGTGATCCCTTCACTCAAGGACTTAAAGTTTCTTGGCTACCAGTTAGGCTGCTCATATTCAGCTGTAGAGAAATACCTCAAACGCCCAGACTCGTCATGCGATTGTGTCTCAAGATCTGGCTGTGGGGAGATGCTACGTGACTGGAGACGGAGGGTTCGACCTAGTGAGCAGGTAGATGAACTTCATCTGGCATTACAAAATGCTGGGTTAGGCCATACAGCTGAGGTAATCCTACCCGAACGTAAGTTTCATACTATACTCTCTCCCTAATTGTAAAACTACAGTGTTTAATATTTCCTTGACGTGTTGCAGAGTTTGAAAAAATAGCAACATTGTCGAACTCCATTTCTCTAAACCATAGATTAAGGCACTAAGAAAAGTTTCCACTTGTATTATTCACCGAAACGATCTGGTATGTGCTCGAACTATTTCGAATCCTGATCCATTATTGGTACATGTAGGTACTGATTTAATACACAACGGAAGCGGCATATTAAGTTGGGAAAATAAAATGGTCCTATAAATCGTAAGAACCCAGCAAGGATGCAACCGTGGACCTCTCATATGACAGTCCAGATTCATCCATCTACCACAATGCTTCCACATATACAAATGAATGTGAGCTTTAAAGGGATAGTTGAGTTCTGTTTTCAGACCGCAAATGCCTTCAAAGTGCATGGTTATTGCTCTAATTCTTATCTATGACATTTCTAGTGCCCTTTTAGAACCTAAAATTGCTATGAAGGTAATTTTAGACCCCAAAATGTGTGAAATTTAGCCAATACGAGCATACCAATTCAGCTCCACTTTTTAAAAAAACACGGTGACCGTTGATTAATTATTTAATTAAAAATAATAATACATGGGCCGGCTGGTTGTGCGTAATATAAGCAACACGAAAATGCCCCCAAAACAAACATCATCGGCATTGGCTGAAATACGACGTAGAAGCGGCGTTATTTTCTCTCTTTTTTTAACGTTTTTTTTTCTAATTTTTTCAAAATATCTAATATTTGTGGTGGTACACAAGTATTAGAAATCGTTATATATATATCATATACACATATATAAATATGATAATAATTACAGAATATATTTTCTTTATTGTAAGTTTGTATGAATACTGTTCTAGTCCTATTGTTACAATATCATATACACATATATAAATATGATAATAATTACAGAATATATTTTCTTTATTGTAAGTTTGTATGAATACTGTTCTAGTCCTATTGTTACAATATCATATACACATATATAAATATGATAATAATTACAGAATATATTTTCTTTATTGTAAGTTTGTATGAATACTGTTCTAGTCCTATTGTTACAATATCATATACACATATATATATATATGATAATAATTACAGAATATATTTTCTTTATTGTAAGGTTGTATGAATACTGTTCTAGTCCTATTGTTACAATATCATATACACATATATATATATATGATAATAATTACAGAATATATTTTCTTTATTGAAAGTTTGTATGAATACTGTTCTAGTCCTATTGTTACAATATCATATACACATATATATATATATGATAATAATTACAGAATATATTTTCTTTATTGTAAGTTTGTATGAATACTGTTCTAGTCCTATTGTTACAATATCATATACACATATATAAATATGATAATAATTACAGAATATATTTTCTTTATTGTAAGTTTGTATGAATACTGTTCTAGTCCTATTGTTACAATATCATATACACATATATATATATGATAATAATTACAGAATATATTTTCTTTATTGTAAGGTTGTATGAATACTGTTCTAGTCCTATTGTTACAATATCATATACACATATATAAATATGATAATAATTACAGAATATGTTTCGTTTATTTTAAGTCGTATGAATATTGTTCTAGTCTTAATAATTACTATTATGATAACAATTACAAAATATATTTTCTTAATTATAAGGTTGCATGAATACTGATTTTGTCTTATTGCTACAATATCATATGTATATGATAACAATTACAGAATATATTTCGTTTATTTTAAGTTGTATGAATATTGTTCTAGTCTTAATAATTACTATTATGATAACAATTACAAAATATATTTTCTGAATTATAAGGTTGCATGAATACTGTTCTTGGCCTTTTTCTACAATATCATATACATACAATAATAATTA